TAAATGCCCTCTGACTCATTCCTAACCTTTTGTCAGGTGACATTTTGTGACTTGTGTCTCACAAGTTTTCTCATTTCCCCATAGCTTAGTTGTGTTTGCTGTCGCTTGAATAGCTGGCATTTACTGAGCCCCTACAATGTTCCAGCACTAAGTGCCTTGGCCCATTTTGAGCCCTGATTCATCTCATTTTCTCTCACACCCACATCCAGTCTATCAGATCCTTTGGCTCTATCTATAAACATCAGTTCAGTTCAGTTCAGTTGCTCAGTTGTATCTGACTCTTTGCAACCACATGGATTGCAGCACGCCAGGCCTCCCTGTCCACTGCCAACTCCCAAAGCCTACTCAAACTCATGTCCATCGCATCAGTGATGCCATCCAACCATCTCATCCTCTGTTGTCCCCTTCTCCTCCTGCCCTCAATCTTTCCCAGCATCAGGGTCTTTTCCATTGAGTCAGTTCTTCCCATCAGGTGGCCAAACTATTGGAGCTTCAGCTTCAGCATCAGTCTTTCCAATGAATATTCAGGACTGATCTCCATTAGGATGGTCTGGTTGGATCTCCTTGCAGTCCAAGGGACTCTTAAGAGTCTTCTCCAGCACCACAGTGGTTGGATCTCCTTGCAGTCCAAGGGACTCTTAAGAGTCTTCTCCAACACAACAAAAGCATCAATTCTTTGGCACTCAGCTTTCTTTATAGTCCAACCCGCACATACATACATGACTATTGGAAAAACCATAGCTTTGACTAGATGGACCTTTGTTGGTAAAGTAATGTCTCTGCTTTTTAATATGCTGTCTAGGTTGGTCATAACTTTTCTTCCAAGGAGCAAGCGTCTTTTAATTTCATGACTTCAGTCACCATCTGCAGTGATTTTGGAGCCCAAAAACATAAAGTCTGTCACTGTTTGCATTGTTTCCCCATCTATTTGCCATGAAGTGATGGGGCCAGATGCCATGATCTTAGTTTTCAGCATGTTGCGCTTTAAGCCAACTTTTTCACTCTCCTCTTTCACTTTCCTCAAGGAGCTCTTTAGTTCTTCTTTGCTTTCTGCCATAAGGATGGTGTCATCTGCATATCTGATGTTATTAATATTTCTCCTGGCAACCTTGATTCCAGCTTGTGCTTCATCCAGTAAGTGTTCAGGCGTCTCTGATGGAGGGTTGGGTGGGCGGTGGCCTGCTGCAGGGCTGGGGGCATGGAGTGTAGCAGTGCATGAAAGCGACGTTCTGAAGGAGGTCACCGTTATCTTCATCACCTCCACCATAGTTTGGCCCCAGGTAAATAACAGGGAGGGAACATAGCCCCACCCATCAACAGAAAATTGAATTCAAGTTTTACTGAACATGGCCCTGCCCATCAGAGCAAGACCCAATTTCCCCTTCAGCCAGTCTCTCACATCAGGAAGCTTCCATAAGCCTCTTACCCCTCTCCATCAGAGGGCAAACTGAAAAATATCAACATAACCAATTCAAAACTAAAAACAGACCTAACAAGGGCCCAGCCATTGCATTTATCCCAGAGAAACAAAGACTTAAATTCACAGATGAACTTGTACACAAAAGTTCACAGCAGCTTTACTTGTCATAGCCCAAGCCTGGAAACTACTCAGATGTCCTTCAGAGGCGGGGAGGGTGAAACCAACTTGGTGCATCCACACCACAGTATAACAGTCAACAAGAAAGAGGGTGAACTGCCAACACATGCAACACCTAGGGTTCGTCTCTAGAGAGTTAGGCTGAGTGAAAGAGCCAACCTCATAAGGATACATACTGCAGGATTTCATTTATCTGGCAATCCTGAGTAACATAATCATGGAGATAAGAGTAGTGGCTGTCAGGGTGAGCAACAGGAAGGAGGGGTGTGACTATAAAGGGGTGATGCCAAGGACAGTACCATAGAGCATCTTGACCACTGTGGTGGTTACTCATGTATAGACTACATGTGACAGAATTGTGTACAGCTACACACACACACACAAATAAGCACACACAAATAAGCACACATACAGCCAGGGAAATTTGAATAAATCTGATTGATTATCCTAATATCAATTCCTTGGTTTTGATAGTTTGGTGGTTATATGAGATGTTGGGGCCGCTCAGGGAGGCAGACACGGGACTTCTCTGCATTTCTTTGCAGCTGCCAGTGAATCTATAATTTCAAAATAAAATAATAAAACACACATAACTACAATCTAATTCCTTCTAATCGCCTGCCCTGCTATCAGCATGGTCCAAGCCACTATCATCTCTTGCCTGGATTATTACAATGGCCTCTTAATGGGTCTCCATACTTTTACATACAGTTTATTCTCAATAGAGCAGCTCTTATAATCTTAGGCAGTTTTTATCATCTGTGGAAATAAATGAAGAACAGCCAAATGGGAAAAGCAAAAGTTATTTTTTCAGAGCTTGCTGCAGAGCAAGGGAGTCAGCCACCATCGCTTTGTCCTGGCAGAGACTCAAAGACAGGCAGAGGACTGGAAAGCTCTATAGTGAAAAATGGAAGGAAAGCTTCAAGTGTGCCCTGATTAAGGCTACTGACAGTCTCCAGCTTTCAAATTGTGGTGCTGGAGCTGAAGAATTTATGCTTTCGAATTGCAGTGCTGTGGAAGACTCTTGACAGTCCCTCGGACTGCAAGGAGACCAAACCAGTCAATCTTAAAAGAAACCCAGAATATTCATTGGGAGGACTGATGCTGACGCTGAAGCTCCAGTACTTCGGCCACCTGATGTGAAACACCAACTAACTGGAAAAGACCCTGATGCTGGGAAAGACTGAAGGCAAAAGGAGAAGAGAGCCACAGAGGATGAGATGGTTGGATGGCATCACCAATTCAGTGGACATGAATCTGAGCAAAGTCTAGGAGATAGTGAAGGACAGGGGAAACTGGTGTGCTGCAGTCCACAGCATCACAAAGAGTAGGACGCAACTTAGCAACTTAACAACTATTCTGGCACCTAAGACATTGCTTGGTCGAATGCAAAGTTAAGTACCCAATACAATTTTTTAGAATGAATGACTGAATGAATATGGGATTATGTGTGTATGCAGGTATATTTAATGTCATGTCCTGCTTATTGGGTGCTTGGAGTTTACTGGACATTGTGCTAAATGCTTTCATATATTACCCCCATTTTTACTCTTCATAGCTCTCCGATAGGGTATTGGGTTGGCCAAAAAGTTCATTTGGGTTTTTTCATGAGATCATATAGAAAAACTTGAATGAACTTTTTCACCAACTCAATATTACCAGAGCCACTTACTGTTCAGGTAAGGTAATCCCAGGAGACACAGTGACCAGAGTCCCAGAACTTCTCAAGAACCTACATTAAATGTTTAAAACCTGAAAGTCTGGCTCTAAAATGCAAAAACTACAGAACAGCCCAAATTAATAAATGTCTAAAAAATGTCATCAATTGTTAACTTATATCATTAATTCTGTGTCAACTTCTTTAATTATTAAATGTGTAGTATTCAAAAGAATTTCATTCTATTTGGAAATAATTTGTAGATATTTAACTCCTCAAGTACTTCCAGAATGTAAATGAATGCCCACCGAGTGCTGAGAACGTGCAGATAATTACACTGGTGAATGAATTACTCTTAGTCAAATAATTTCCAAGGCAAACTTAGAAAAATCAGTTTGTGTTATCTTATGGTAATATGTCATATTTGACAATTCTGTGCATTTTAATAATTGATTTGGGGGAGACACCTCATCCTAGAAAGGTCTTAAAATCCCCTTTGATATAATTGGCTCCATTTTGCAGATTTAGCTCCATGATCTGCAGTTTCCTTGTTCCTCTCTCTGGTCAATCTCCCCCAGTTCTCCTGGCCAAACCCTCACATTATCCGGCCTCCCACATCCCTCCTGACCCCTCATCACTGCTTTGCCAGCCCTGGGCCTGGGTGTACACAGGGATGGGTGTGTGAACACATGGGAACAGTTGGAAAATGTGGGCATCTCCCAGGCCTGCGCCCCAGGCTCTGGTTCTACTCTTCACTTTGTCTCCACAGCAGCAGCTCCTTTGCCCCCAAGATCCTCCCCAGCCTTTGAAAGCACTTCCAGGAGAAAACCAGCTATCCCCCAAACTGCCACAAGATGGTGCCACAAGCTCACAACTGGGCTTCTGCCGCTCCTTCAAGAAGAAATGCAGAACAGACAAGGTGTCCCAAGAGACAGCTGGGTGCCCCCACGCCAAGCATCTTCTGTTCCCCCCAGGTGTGACTCTGGCCCCTCCAGGGTAACCCTCAGGGCCCTGTTTTCGCCCCTGTGGCAGGTCCTATGGTTTGGCTCCTACTCCCCCCCCCCCTTGCTGTCCATCTCCCTGTTGCTTTGTCTCTCCTTGTTCATCTTCCAGCATCCCCCTCCATCTGTCTCTCTCTCCCTCTCTGTCTCCCTCAGTCTCTCCTTTCTTCCTATCTTCACCTGTGCTCTGTCTTCATCCTCCTCAGCAAACCTAACGCTGCTTCATCTTACACAAGAAGTCCATTAAAAGAAAAAATTTAATGTGTGTTTATTTGGCTGCGCTGGGTCTTAGTTGCAGCACGCTAACTCTTAGCTGTGGCATGCAGGATCTAGTTCCCTAACTAGGGATTGAACTCTTGCCTCCGGAATAGGGAGCTTAGAGTCTTAGCTACTAGACCACCAGGGAAGTCCTTCAATAAGTCCATTTTAAAAACCAGTTGCTGGTGCCTGTTATGTGGTGGACACTGCCAATCTCTGGGTCAGTGGAAGCATACTGGAGTCCCAGTCCAGGGGAAGAAGCTCCCAACTGAGGACTGTGGTGGGCAAGTCCCTTTGATCCTCGGTCTCCTCCCTCTCCTCTCCTCCCCTCTTCACTACTTCCTCTCTCTCTCCAGCCTCTCTCCTGACTGAGTGGCAGCGGATCTGGGGCAGCAGATAGGGAATATACCCCCCTCTGCCCACCCCTACCCAGTCCACACCCATCCCCACACAGTGGAGTCAGGCTAAGTGGAGCAACACAAAGCCGGAATCTTAAGACCCTCTTTATTCCAAGCCAATCCCACTGCCCCACAGTCCCCACTGATGGAAGAGGAAGTCATGGGCTGGAGCCATGAGACACAGGTTCTGGACCCAGTCCTGCCACAAATCCCTCTGGGAAGGCTTTCTGGGGGCCTGCTGGTCCTCGGTCATCCCATCTGTGAACCAATCATCTCTTGTCCTGGTTGGGGGAGCTGGACTCCACTTGGCCTAGGACGGGAATCAAGAACCACTCACCAGGAGAAACCAGTAAATTTCTCCTCCCAGCTTCCACCTCTGCAAGACACAAACCTCCCCAAGTCCCCACCCCCTCATCACTCTCAATTCCATGGTTTTTGGCTTGGAGGCCCCACCAAAGGGCTAACCCAGTGAGGCCTGTGTGAGTGACAGTGACCATGATTTACCACTGGCACTTCTCTTCCCTGAAACTGTTCAGTAAATAAACACGCCAGAGCTGCCACCTACCCCAACATGGCCCCGTGTGCACAGGAGTGCCGGAATCCTGCCCCCAGCCTTCCTTCCTCCCTTCTTTCTCCAGGGTGAGGTGTCAATCTTTGTCCAGAGCTAATCCCATCAGGGCTCAGGATCCCATTCCTTTCTCTTCCTCTACAGTCTCCCTCTGCCTCTCTCTCTACTGGATCTTTCCCCATAATATCCTCTCTCTTTCATCTTAAAAATAGCCACCTCCATGTTAGCCAACGCAATTATAAAAGGGAAAGCATTCTAAAGCACTGATATGAGGAGGTGACATTGTCAACATCTGACTGTATATTGAAGATGAAGGACTACTGTGAATAAAAATACAGTTAGTAAGGTAAGAATGAAGTTAGTAAGATACAGAACTCCTACAGAGCAGTAAATTGCAGTCTGATCAGATAATATAATGAAAGGAAAGACTCCATTTACAGTAGAATCAGAAAAGATATAGTACCTGGAAATAAACTTTAAAAAAATGTTCAAGACTGTATGAACACTGTAAAACTTCTGAAGAACACTAAGAGGGAAAAAAACAACACATAAAAACAGGCCGGTTCATGGATAGGAAGACTCAGTACCATAAAGACTGCAATTATTTGAGTTACTTCACACATTTAATATGATCTCCATAAAGATATAAACAATTTTTTTGACCACTCCACTGGCAGGTAGGATCTTAGTTCCCCAATCATAAATGGAACCCAAGTTCCCTGCGTCTTAACCACTGGACCACCAACAAAAGTCCCCTTAACAATTACTAGGGTAATTCTAAAGTTTATTTTAAAACAGCAACAAGAATAGGCAGAAAGAATTTTTTTTTTAATTTGGTTATGCTTCGTGGCTTCTAGGATCTTAGTTCTCAGACCAGGGATTCAACCCACATCCTCGGCAGTGAAAGTGCTGAGTGGTCAAACACTGACTGCCAGGAAATTCCCAGGAAGAATTCCTTAAGAAGCATTAAAAAGAATTAATCTTATAGATGATTCAACATTTTATGAAGCCTCAATAGTTAAAACCATGTGATCTCACTGCACAGACGAATGGAACAGAACAGAAAACCCAGATATAGATCCCAAGACAAACAGAAATACAGAGCACTGAAAAAAATGTGGTTCGATATATTTTATGCTCATTTCAATCCCAAGGGGTTTGTCAAACAATTACATGTAGAAAATAAAGTAATGGAAGTACATGGAATTCCTTTATGATCTTAGAATGGAAGTTTTTCTTATAACTTAAAACCTAAAAGCCATAAAGTAAAATACATATCATTTCAAATACATCTGTCAAATTTCATGGAAAAATATCATAAGCAAAGTCAAACTACAAACAATAAACTGGGTTAAAAATTTTTACAATTTATATCAAAAAGAGCTAATCTCTCTCCTGGAAGGAGTTCCAGATGTCAAAACAAAAGTAGAAACAAGCAACACTAAAAAAATACATGAAATAACATTTCACAGGAAAAGAAACACAATAGCTCCTAAACATATTACAAAATTTCAACTTCACACAAACTAAGAGACATGAAAAATTTCAAGTTTTGAGGTAATTCAATGGGAAAAATATATCTTTTCAACATGAAGTGCTGTATACCCATATGGAGAGGGGGACGTGGGCTGGGGGAAACATCTCAGCCTTTTATCTCATACTATATACAAAAAGTAACTCAAAGTGCATCAGGCCTAGAAGTACTAAAAGTACTTCTAAAAGTTTATAGATTCAGCTAGTACTTTAAGGCACTGTGCCTAAAGGTACTAGAAAACACAGGGGGAAATCTTCAACACCTTCAGCAAAGATGAGCAAAGATTTCCAGGAAAGGATACAAAACCTCTAACCATGAAAAAATTATAGGGATTTCCCTGGTGGCCCAGTGGTTAAGAATCCACCGTGTAATGCAGGGGACTCAAGTTTGACCCCTGGACGGGGAACTAAGACCATGAGCCACGATTACTGAAGCAAGCCCACTCTGGAGTCTACACGCCACCGCTGAGCCCCAGTGCAACAGCTAAGGAGTCCACGCACTGCAAGCATCCCTCACGACAAATGAGCGCCCCACCCCTGTGTCCCAACTGAGACCCAACACAGATGAACAAATACATAAATACATAAAAAATGACAGACTAACTTCATCAAAATTAAAATCTATTGTTTTTAAAAATAAATCGTTAAGAAGTTAGAAAGCCAAGCTACAGTCTGGGAGAAAATATTTCAAGTATCTGCTAAAAGACATGTATCCAGGATTTACTAAGAACTCTTGGAACTAATATGAATATTACACCAACAAGATAAAGCCAGATTTTAAAGTGAGAAAAAATATTTGACAGATACTTCACTAAAAGAGACATATAACCAATGAGCACCCAAAAAGGGGCTCAAAGTCATCAGGCAGACCCACTGGAAATGACTACCACCACCAAGTGTTGGCACAACCATCCAGGAATTGGTTTGGCAGTTTCTAGAGCCAGAAGAAATACTCCTCAGTATTTACCCAAATGAAAACATGTATCTATACAAAGACTTGTACACAGACAAATGTCCAGAGAAGCTTTGATCAAAACTGAAAACTACTCAAATGTCCATCAACAGCTGAATATGTAAATTGTACCTCTATCCATTCAACAGAGTATCACTAACAATAAAAAAGAACAGTAACTATAGGTACACATAATACCATAGATGATTCAAAAGAACTACAGAAAGAAGCTAGTCACAAAAGGATACACATGGCATGGTTTCACTTGTATGAAATTCTAGAGATGTGAAATTTAATCAATAGTTATTAGTAAGCAGATCAGTGGTGACCTGGGCCTGGGCCTGGGCCTGGGGGTGGGGAGATTGAAGATTGAATGGGAAGGGATAGAGGGAACCACATGAGTTGATGAAAACGTTCTATATCTTGATTCTGGTGGGTAGTGGTTACTTGGTGTTCCATTTGTCAAAGTACATTTAAAATGGGTGCATTTATGCACCAACCAAAAGACACAGACTGGCTAGGTGGATGAAAACATATGCGTGTATACCTCCCAAACTGTATGTAATTTTATTTTTAGGTTAATCATGTTTCCATTATGGCCTGCAATTATAATTATCTTTTATCTGGCTACTTATTGTGAAAAATGATAAACATCTTTTACTATTAAAATATGAGTGCATTTTATCCTATTATCTGTTAAAAAGGTAAATTCTGTGCTTTTTATCTGGGACTGAAAAGAAACCCTGTGCTTTTGCTGGGATGGAAAATCCAAACCTTAAAAAGCAATAAACAATTGAACAACTTTCAAAAAAAATCACACTGAGATGAACTTTTTAATTTACTGAACTGTCAAAAAATTCCAGAGTTTAGTAACACATTGTGTTGGCATGTCTGTGAGGAAAAACAGACTCTCACTTACTGATGAGGGGAGTGTAAATTAGAATAATCCCTAAAGAAGGCATTTGGGCAATACTAAATTATAAATGCTTTGACCTAGCAATTTCCTTTCTAGGACTTTATCCCACAGATGAACTTTAACCACAACAGCATATGTGAAAGGTTATTACTGCATGAATGTTTGAAATAGCAAAACATAAAAAAATAATCTGAATGTCTATCAACCCAAACCAGGTAAAATAAACTATGATATACCCATACAATTGAATCCTATGTAACTATTAATATAAAATTGGACAGGGAAAGTCTAGGTGTGCAAATGTGGAAAGAGTCTCAAGCACAATGTTAAGTGAACAGATTAACATTGTATTTGCTATGCTGCCATTTCTGTTAAAAAAAAAAAAAAAATCCCAGAGAATAATATATTTGGATTTTCTTGCAAGTATATTTTTTTAAAACTCCAACTTCTTTTTTTTTTTTTTTTGGCTGTGCAGCACAACATGTGGGATCTTAGCACCCTGGCCAGGGACTGAACCTGCACCCTCTGTAGTGGAAGCACAGAGTCTTAGCCACTGGACCACCAGGGAAATCCCCAAACCCCAACTTCTGGAAGAATAACTTGGAAACTAATACCAGGGGATATCTGTTTGAAACTATGTGGATGGAGTTAAAGAGTATGCGGAACAATTTTCATAGCTTGCCTTTTTAAACTTCTCTATTCAAAACTAAATACTTATTTAAAAAATAATATCAGAAAAACACATTATACATAGATAAAGCATAGCGTAACTGTCCGAGTTACCATTACTCATCGGGTTACCTTGGGGAAACAAACACAGGAAGCTCCAATGCAGAAGAGGGGCAGGGCTGGCACACAGGATCAGTTACCACTGCAAAATCCCTGCACACAGCCCCCCTCAGACTTTAGGTCCCAGTCCCCCAAATCGGAGGTGCCTGCTACCCCTTCCTGTGGCCTCACAGGGACTCTCTCCTCTGCCGAGTGTCTCCCCCACTTCCTTCCTTCTCTCATGTCCGTGTAAACTGTGAGTCTCGGGCATCAACTCCTCAGCAAGCTTTCTCTGATGGACACCCTTTCCTCCCCCGCCCCTCACACTCTGGCCCTGTGAGGTGCCCCTCGTTGCACCCCCACCCCCAGGACTGCAGAGTCCGCTGGGTCCTGCGAAGCCCAGAGGCCTGAGCCTGTGGGCTCCCTGTCCTGGAGCGCTGGCCTCGCCAAGGAATGAGTTCCCCTCGATGGGACGAGGGCATTCACGGCTGGCAGCAGATTCTGCTCTCCACCCACACAGACATCTATAAGTTTCCGTTTCCCCCCATGATGCTGCTCCTCACACCCACAAAGAAAATCTCAGTTTCAGTTTCCCCTAAACTCTTAGGAGGAAGCCGCCTGGGGCTTCCCCTCCCACCCCTGGGGCACTGTGTGCAGCCGCCGCAGCGAGGGAACAGTGATGAACGGCTCAGGCATGAAGCTCAGGGTCCAGCAGGGAGGACAGACACTCACACAAGAACAGTAACAGAAACAGGGGGCAATGGGCTCAAAGACAGCCCCAAAGCAGTGGGGGAGCCCAGGCCCCGCTAGGGCTCATGGGCGGTGGGGACTGGAGGGAAGGCTTTTGAACAGGCGGCCCCGGCTGGGCGGCCTCCGGAGCAGTGGAGAGAGGGTCAGGGTAGGGTCCGCAGCCTGGGGCTCTGGCCCTCCAGGGAGGGGCCCTGGGGCTGAAACCTGAACCCAATGGCAGTTTGGTCTACTCCGGGAGGACCTACAAGAGGAGGGCCAAGGCGGGCACTGCCAGGAACCAGAGGGTAAGCTGGATGGAGCCTGGTGCCAAGGCAGCTGGACAGGGCCCTGCGGGGGAAGGCTTGGTGCCAGAGGACAAGCCAGAGGCTGTTCCTCAAAGAGGAGGCTCGGATTTCCGTGGGGTTTTTTCCACAAGCCTCTCTGGGATGTGAGATTCATTCCTTAGAACTCAAGATGTCTAAGGCCCTCCTTCTCTGGGGGTCCCTGGGGTTTGGGCCAGACCAGTGGGGAAACAGTGACCAGGGGTAAGCAGGAGGGGCAGGTGAGAATAGCTCCAACTCCTCTCGTGTGTGACAGGAGCCCCTGCCCTTCGCTGGATTAACGGTTTGCCCGACCAGCTCTGTCACACCCACATCCTTCCTGCAAACCTCTACCCATAAAGAGGAACACAGTGCCTGCTCCTGCCCGCCTTCAGACATTCATCAGGAAGGGGAACTGTGGGTGATTCCAGAGCACTGTTGGGGCTCGCGTCATCCTTCACGGCCTGGGTCCCGGGCTGGCAGCAGGGACATCACCTCGGAGCCCTCTTCCCCACCCCCTTGACCCCTATTTCTCTCCAGATACATTGTAAACAGCACATTTATTTGAGGTTTTCAAACCTCGGGTAAGAAGCACAGGAATGGCAGGGCTCTC